TTCTAAAATATTTATCTGATAACTATTTTAAACAGTTTTAGTTTTTATTTTTGTTTTTATCTTGATATATTTATTCTAAAACATAACAAGGATATTGGATGATTTTTAGAAATAAAAATTAATGTATGGCACAAATGGCATTTATAGTCCGTATCTCATATTTCCTTAATGTCTTTATCTTTGACTGTGTTAAACATGGTGTCACGTGGATGGGAATATAAATGTAAATTATATTCAGATGAGGTTATGCATAGTAAAACAAAGCATTGTAAGCTCCATATATGGTGGTTTCGGGGAGGAGACGGGGTGGAGATGCACATGCGCACAATCTTCCCCTGACTGGGATTTATAAAGGAATTTTGCGCAGGTTCTGGCGTAGGCATGGTTTTATAAATCTGAAAACCTTTGTGCGTACGCAAAATCTAGCTTTTGAGCATACTTTTCACACTTTTAGGATGAAATCTACGGAGAGTTTTATAAATGAGGCCCCAGGTCATGTCACGTTGCATCCAGTGTAGACAGGATCACTGATTATAATGGGTTCTATTGGCTTTTGTCACATATGACATATAGATGCTGATATTAGATGCTGGCATAGTTTACATAAATTAAAGCAACATAAATTAATCAAATCTGCATGTGCATTTGAATAAACATATTAGAGAGGAATTATCATGATTTGAAGATCTGGCATCTGTCATTTTTTCTCAGATGTATGAAGCAACATATAAAAAATAACCATCTTTTTAAGTAACCATCTTTAACCAATATTATTTGTTTTAGGACCCAGACATACCTTAAACATCGATTTTTACATTTTTTTTAATGGCGATCTTCATTTGAAAATCTCAATATTGATTTGTGAAGTGCAAAATTTAAATGTATTAAAGGAATAGTCCACCCAAAAATGAAAATGTTTAACATTTTTGCACGAACATTCCTCCCACGTCTGGTACATGTGACAGTAACACTGAAAGATATTTACAGCTGCAAACACAATCCATTCATCTCTGACAGCTCAAAAAAAAAAAAAGGTGAGCACTGTGATCTACCTTTTTAACCTGGCTAAAGTATTCATTATTAGTTTTGTGTTTTAAAGCAGGGGTGTAGACCACTGAAAACAACTTGGGTTCAATTCAGGCTCTGAAGTTCTTGCTTTGCTGTGTTTTTGGTGGGAAAATGACATTAAACTTAACAGAACAAGTATAGTTCCACAAGGAACATTTTAATTTTGTTATACTTCCACAATTTTTTGCCTTTTGATAAGAGGCAGCAAAATGTAAACATGACATGACTCTTTAATAAGCAACAGAACCATATCTGACCATTTCCTTTTGGCACCACCTACAGCTTGTGCAATGCTAAACCATTGCTTTTAACAGCTTGACCATTCCCATGATTGGGCATTATGATTGGTCATATTGCCTGTCAATCAAACTCCTGGCGAAGGGTCAATGTTCGGAGTCTGTAGATTATAAGATCACTAGATAAGCTAGAATTGTAATAGGCTATAAATACTGTTGGAGTTAAAGAATGTTAGACCCATTTCAGACTACAGATCTGGTAACCAGGTAAGACAATCAGCTTCGTCAAAGCGACCCACGTTTTTAAAACAGTGTAAGACGTGATACACAATACTTTGTTACTTTAAATAATCTTTACTGTTTTGCCTTTTTTTTCAGAACATTTTTGGTGTCCAAAAACTGTATAATTTTTTTAATTATGTTACTTATTTACTGTAATATTGGATAATCATACGCTTCAGGTAAGTGATATCAACAACGCCATTGTGCAATAATCATTAATCACTTTTGCAGAGCTTAGCTCTTCCACTTTGTACAAGATTTACCATCTTGCCACATGAAAGACTGATTTATTCCTCACTGGCACAGGTTTACTCTCTTGGCAGTTATTTTTGGAAAGTTATAATCTTAAAGACCTGAAAATGAGGATTAAAAATCAGAGGATTCTGAAAATGGTCTCCATCCTATCAGTGTCCCTCTTCGTGCTGAATTATCTAGGACGAAGGACACACTGTCCTCGTAAGGAAGAGTTGGTCTTCAATAACTTACTAAAGCAAGATGCTGGAGAACTACAAGCTTGTTCTGCTATTATCCAAGGAGACATGGATGGAGTGGACAAGGAGGCTTTCAGGAAGCTCCTGGCCTTTAGAAAAAGAAAATCCCTGCTATCAGAGTCATTCTATCTCAACGCCACCAAGGATTGTCCATCCTACATCAGAGATAGAGGGTTTCTGACTGTTTCTCTCAGTAAAGAGGAGAAAGATTTCCCCATTGCTTACTCCATGGTGATCCATGAGAAGATTGAGATGTTTGAAAGGCTCTTGAGAGCCATTTACACTCCTCACAATGTGTACTGTGTTCACGTGGACCAGAAGTCTCCTGAGATCTTTAAACAAGCAGTAAGAGCCATTGCGTCCTGCCTGACCAACGTGTTTGTGGCCAGCAAACTGGAGAGTGTGATTTACACCTCCTGGTCTCGAGTTCAAGCGGACATCAACTGCATGCAGGATCTGCTAAAGTCACCTGTCCAGTGGAAGTATCTGCTCAACACATGTGGCACCGATTTCCCCATTAAAACCAATGCAGAAATGGTTCAGTCTCTTAAACACCTGAATGGAAAGAACAGTTTGGAGTCCGAGGACGTAAAGGCCAAAAATTGGCAAACTATTTGTACACTTCAGAGAAGCTCTCTTTCTAGGTTTCTAGTTCCTACATATTTTTCAGATTTTAACAATTAACAATCAAACTGTTAACATGTATGTTACATTGTTACATTTTGACTAGATTATTTTGATGTTACATTGTTACATTTTGTATACTATTATGTTGCCAAATTATTGCCAGAATTTTTTACCCAGGCAAGTTCAGATGCAATTTATTAAAACTGCGATACTACAACACAGGATTGTTCTTGACATACTTTCGACTCTTTCACTGACTGCATACATTTAAAATATGTTACAATATATTTTATTGCAGGATATGCTATCCAGTATAAAAAATATTTCACTGTAAAAAATGAATCATGAGTCTTGTAATTTTCATTAAAAAAATTAAGGTGATAATTAAAAATATTGTGTATATTTCATTAGAGAAATTGTGATTCAGTGTTGTATAGAAAATATTGAGGACTTTTTACCAATAAAACCAAGAGATGTGTTTTCCTCATTTTTTTAAAGGAAACTTAAGCAGTTTGGGGGCTTGAATTGAGGAACTGATTAAACTAAAAAAAATTAAAGGGGTCATATGATGTTGCTAAAAAGAACATTATGTTGTGTATTTGGTGTAATGAAATGTGTTTATGCGGTTTAAGGTTCAAAAAACACATTATTTTCCACATACTGTACATTATTGTTTCTCTTCTATGCCCTGACTTTCTGAAACGCGTCGATTTTTACAAAGCTCATCGGTCTGAAAAAGCGAGGTGTACTCTGATTGGCCAGCTATCCAGTGCATTATGATTGGCCGAATACCTCAAGCGTGAGACGGAAATGTTACGCCACTTACCATACTGTGATGCCCTGTCCGGCCGGAGCGACGAGACAAAAACATTAAAACCCATCATGCTTTGCATATGGCTGGATATGGAGAGTACATTTTTTAATTAAATGCTATTTTATGTGTTTTTGAGTGAAGGGAAACATCTATTAATGTTTAATGTTCAGTTATGTTTGACATTTGAAAGAGTTTCTGTTACATTGAAGTTTCCATTGCACAGTGCAATCATTACCATTGTGCAGAAGAGTAGAGCTTATGGTTATGGATACTACTCCTTTAAGGCAATAAGCCTTGTTCAATGAGCAGTAGCTTTGCTAGTGCTAGTACTTTCCAGTATTTCTCAAGTATTTTCCTACTTGAGCTGTTTGGCTGTATATACAGTCTTTTAAGTGTACAAAATAACTCAGTCAAATACAAACAGACCTCACTCAAAATCACAGACTCTTGAGAATCAACTTAAAATAAATGAGCACATTTCACTAATTATATTAAATTCATTATGTCATAGATTAATTAATTTAGGAGATTTCACATGAGTTATTCAGGTAGATTCCATAAAAAAAATCAAGCCTGGAAAAACTACTCAAAAATATTATGTGTAAATAGCTCGTTCCATTTTTTACAGTGTTGCTAAATTTACTGATGAAATCCTTTATTATGAGGGATTATCACTCCCTTCAAGTCCTCACTCATAAAGAATTCATCCTTTATACTCTTCTTTATAACAATCAATAAACTTTTATTTTGAGCAAAGGTCGGGTACAACAATAGATGAATCAAGCATGTTTAAATGTACGTTGTGCAGGATCAAAGAAAGAATTACCATCACTGTGCAAAAATGGCAATAATAAAATCTTTGTGACCTTGACTTGTGTCATTTAAATGTTCTAATCATTTGACTTTGTTTCAGTTTCTTTTCTGTATTTAGGTCATTTTTGTTCTAACATCATCCAATTTTTAATAATTTACTTATATTTTAGGTATACAAGTAATCATTATACACTACTGTTCAAATGTTTGTGGTTGGTGATATTTTAAATTTTCAACTGTGATAATAAAAGGAAAGGTTTCCTAAGTACTACTAATTTAAAAACAAGAATTTATAAGCAATAATCCAAAAATCAAATATGGCCAAATGTCATGGTGTGAATTCCATCGCAACGCTTTAATTTTAACATTTAAAAAGTGCAAAGATGTACAGTCAAACCAAAAATTATTCAGACACCAGATATAATTTTTTGATATTTTTTTACTAGTGGGTGCAGGACACTATGTAAGTGAGAATAGCAAAATAAAGTAAACTGTGACATACCCAAAAATTCTTCATACAGTGGACTACTAGTAAAATTGATAAAAATGTGGGACCAAACATTATTCAGACACTTTGACCTGACCATGTTTTGCTTAAATGTTATCTGACATTATCAAAATGACTTTGTTCTGACACAGTTTAACTCTTGAGTTCTCATCATATTTTATTACTATTTTCTAAACTATAGCGAATACACTGTGATAATGTGTGAAATGTTGAAGGTGTCTGAATAAATTTTGGTTTGACTGTACCTATAGTGAAACATTTAATATATGACAGCTGTTAAACGACAGAAATTTTAAAGACCTACAGTAATATCTACAGTAGTGATGTAACCGACTCGTAATTTGCATTATTCATGTCACTCAAAATTGAATGTGACAAGTCAAAAAACATTAACAGAGTCATTTTTGGCATATTATGCATATGAATGTGTGCATATTTTAAAGTGAAAATCCAGTGCATTTCCAATGCAATATTGTTCAACTTTGTTTAGATAAGACAGAGGTAAATCTAGATTACATGAGAGGTTCTTTCTAACATTACTGATAAAAGTAAATCTATATATTAAATGAAGTACATTTAGAACATTTTTAAATGAAATGAAAAAGAAATATTTATTCATTTATTTTTTTCTGGGAGACTTAAAGTTTAAAATTCAGCTGACTGGAAAGATTATTTGAAAAAGAAATACAAAAATGAAGGTGAACTGAAAGGGGGACAGTTCTGACCACTCGAAGTGGAGCAGATACCTACGAGATCAAAGGCGGATATCGCGTTATTCTCACTCATGTGCTGTGCTGCTGATAAACATGATATCATTTGAGTTCTGTTGCTTTTATATGAAAATAAATATGATGAACAAGACACTCAAAGTGCTTTGCTATTTAATTCCATACGAAAGGTGTATTTATCATCCATTTTTATTGTAATACAAACATGTATTTTAGATTTTTATAGAAATATGACAATCACATATCTCACACCGAGATCGCACTGTGTTTGGGAACATTCATGCATGGTCAAACAGAGCACTGTTCAGCTGTGACAGCTGCCGCTGAACATTGAGCTGTATACTATGCTCTATTTTTTTTATTCACGGTTTTATTTTTATGCTTAACCTAAAAAATCCAGGTTGCAAACCTGTCTACATATGATCACCATGGTCAAGTCAATAAACTATATAAAATCGCACCTTTGTAAGATATCAGTTAGCATTAGAACTGCTGTGTGTGTGTGTCTGTGTATTTTGTAGTTTTTAATATATACCAGCAACTGCTTGGTTACCCACATTCTTCAAAAATAACTTTTATGTTCAACAGACAAAATAAACTAATCCAGGTTTAAAACAACTTGAGTAAATGATGGTGCATGATCACCATGGTCAAGTCAATAAACTATATAAAATCGCACCTTTGTAAGATATCAGTTAGCATTAGAACTGCTGTGTGTGTGTGTCTGTGTATTTTGTAGTTTTTAATATATCATTACATTATTCAAGTAAGCTCCAAGCCAATACCTGCATTTAAAGTTGTAATCCGACAAAGGAACGCAGCAAATCAGTGTAATTTACCTGGCCTCGATCTTGGCTAAGCCTGAGGTACATCACCTTCTCCTCCATTATGATGTAAAACATAAAAACAAAAATGAGCAATTCTGGCTCCACCTATTCTGGCCGGATTGTCCTCTGGTCAGCTCTCCTCTCGCACCGGTGCTATGCGACAAAACGGTAATCGGGAAAACACGGTGGCGGAATTAGGAAATCCTGCGAAGGATTTGAAGATTTAATGCTAATATTTTAGTATTATACTTCGGAGGGTCCTTCGTGCACTTCGGAGGCTTGGCCTTCGAAGTGTGCGCACTTAACTTTGGGACACAGCTAACAATTCCCGTATTGGGTGTTTACACAAACGATAACGGTGCCGTTTTCAAAAACTTGCACTTTGAAACCCGTTTTCAAAAATATGCGTTTTCAGTCCCCAAAACGCAGTTGTCGTGTAAACGAACAGTCAAAACGCATAAAAAGTTTCCCATTTTTGTCCAGTAGCCCCTCACTGCAGAACAAAGATCCAGGGGCGGGGTTGGATCCACATCTAGGGAGTGGAGATGGTAGGTTTAAGGGTGGAGATGGGTAGGTTTAGGGGTGGAGATGGGTGGGTTTAGGGATCGGGGTGGAGACGGGTAGGTTTAGGTATATGTAAGGTGGGAGGAGTTGGATCTGGATCCAACCACGCCCCCTGGATCTTGTGTTCTGCAGTGAGGACCATCTCTTTTTTGCTGAAAACGTTGTCGTGTAAACGGCCCCTTAAAGAACTTCATCTGGCCAATGGGCATGCAGGCAAAACTGTGCCCCCATGAGCTATGTGGGACAACTGAAGTGAAGATTTCACTAACAAGAGTAGTAACAGGTACAGCCAAATGAGCACTGAAAACTTGTTTGGGACACTTTAACAGAATGAAATTGAATTCATCTTCCACATCATAGTATCTTGTGTACTATCCATCTATGTGTAGGTTTCAAAATTGGAATAGTTTTGAATTTCAGTAGAAATTACATTACATTGAATTTAAATTTCAAATATATTGTGCTACTATTTGATGTAAGGGTGCAGCTTTCTCTGTTTTTGTCCTCTGCAAAGCAAGGCAAGGCAAGGTTTTATATATATATATATATATATAGCTAGCATATTTCATACACCGTGGCAATTCAAAGTGTTTTACATAAAAGGAATTAAAATAACCATAAAAATCACAACAATAAAAGCAAGGAATTACAATTTTAAAATGATTTAACATTTGATTTAAAATGAATTAAAACAGTTAAGAATAAAAGATGATACATGAAATACAAAGTAAGTCTGGATTTAAATATGGCTACTGATTTAGCACATTTGATCTCTTCTGGAAGCTGGTTCCAACTGTGGGCATAATAGCAAAAAGCAGACGCCCCTTGCATCCTGCAAAGGGACAGAACTGTTCTTCAGTTGAGGTTTGGCTTTTAATTGCTCTCTTGGATCTAAGTGCAGTACAAAGCAAAAAAAAAAACGTTATGTTGTTCTATTTACTCAAAACATTCAATTACTGGTTTTAACTGGAACGTGTTTGTGTTTCAGGTGGTTCGTAAATGTACAATACATATGAGAAGGCTGACGTGGTAGAGCTGAGTTTTTGTATGCCCTGTGATCATGACCATCTTACGCACAAAACAAAAAATTTAATCCATTGTTGTTAAATAAAGGAATAGTAAAAAATGAAAATTTGCTGAAGGCCATCCAAGATGTAGATGTTTCTTCATCAGAGCAGATTTGGAGAAATTTAGCATTACATCACTTTAGCATACTCACCAATGGATCCTCTGCAGTGAATGGGTGCCATCAAAATAAGAGACCAAATAGCTGATAAAAACATTACAATAAGCCATAAGTAATCCACACGATTCCAGTCCATGAATTAAAGCCTTGTGAAGCAAACAAAAACAAATCTATCATTAAAGTGTTTAAACATTAAATCATCGCTTTTGGCCAGTCCATAATCCATAATAACGCTTCCTTCCTTTGTGAAAAAAAGTCTATCCCCTGTTGTCCTCTCATATCAAAATCTACAGATGTATTTGTTTAGAACTATTTTCACTTGTAAAATATTTCTCACCTGATTCAGATGAGATGACTTTTTCACTTTAGAAAGCAAAATTATGTATAGAAGACTCCTATAATATTTTAGTATTTTGTAAACAGAAGTTCGAAGCTAAATACTTGATGGAAAAAGTTCTTGATTGATTTGTTTCTTACAAATGTGCAGCTTAATTGATTTTAATTGATGGACTGGATTCATTTGGATTACTCTTTTAATCAGCGCACCCATTCACTGCAGAGGATCCACTGATGTGACTTAATGCTAAATTTCTCCAAATCTGTTCCAATAAATAAACAAACTGATTTTCATCTTGGATGGCCTGAGGGTGAGTACATTTTCAGAAAATTCTTCTTCTTCTTCTTTTTTTTGGTGAAAAAAAATTCAATTTCATTTTTGGGAGAACTAGTCCTCTAAGATTTTTATGTAACTCATGGGCTTTTACATGAGTTGTCAGAATGAACCGATTCACTAAAATGAATCCGACCTCCCAGCACTACATACAAGAAAAGGAAAGGTAAATTTAGAAAATAGTGTTATTGCAGCTCACTCAAATCTGTGTGTAAAGAGTGTGATATTTAACGTTATGGCCCAACTTAAGGAAAAAAAATAGCTTTTTTCAAACAGCTTTGGCATTCCATAATTACTGTCATCAGACATATATCAAGCGCAATGAATGTTTGACGAGAATCTGCACAAACTTTAAAGCCAAAAAATAGTGCACACCCCGCATGCCAATTGTTGTCAAATTTGCTCAAATGTGCAAACACTGGATTTAATTTGACTTGTCATTGGGTATTGCAAGCAAATAAATTATTTCTCAACTGTTAAAGAACAGTGAAGAAGCATATTATATAGAGCTTTGATAACTGTCCTGATAAGATTAGAAAATATGAAAAGTGTGAGCTTAAAGGTGCTGTGTGTAATTTCGTCACCTTCCACTCTCAGTTGCGCTTGTTCCTGTTGCGTGTCCTCAATCTGACAACCCTCTGAAGCGTCCCATCCGAGGAAGAGGGCGCGGGAGAAACAATAATTTGAATTTGGACTGCAGTACCCATTTCAACAGCTAGCTGTCACTATTACATACTGCACCTGTAATATAATTGGTTTAATAGACAGTCTCTTTACGTTTATCAAAACTGGTTGAACTAAACGTAGTAAATTAGTAGGCCTAGGTCATATTTCATGTGAAAAAAGATTCAGTTTGTTGACAAGCACTAATATAAAACAGTCGACTGTCAAATGCTTTAACAATGATTTCAAAACAAACAATATGTGTTTTGATAAACACTAATAGAAACCGGTAAAACTAGAAAATGTTTCTTTGCAGAAACAAGTAGAGCCACACACACCAGTAATAAGTCATTGCTATTCGTTCCACAAAAACAGCTAAACTAGCAGTCTGGTCTCATTGTTTATTCGTAGTTATTAGTGCATAACATTTACAAGCACAAAACATACATTTTTGTAAATTTTTATTGATGCTGAAACATACTATTTGGACGCATTTCAACGTTTAAAATGTACAAATTGCTACGTACTTTTAGCTATAAAAATGTTTTATATCATTAAGATATTTGTATCAATGCGTTTTTATAATTTAAGCCATTTAGATTTATAGACCCCTTAACCTACCCCAAACCTAAACCTACCAATTTTATAGCGAATATAAAAAGATAGAAAACGTAACTGACCGAAATATGCAGGGAAATTACCATTTTAGTAACAATATAGCATTAAAAACATTTTTATTGTCGCTAAACCTCTAAACCTAACCATAACTATTTCTGTACAGTATAAAGAAAAACATTACAGACAGATAAGTGCAATCACAATAATTTATTTACTGCAAAAATGTCAACAACAGCAGTACCAAAAGTAATCCAAATGACGCTGTGTTGCAGCCGCAGTCCTCTCTGGTGGAATGCAATAGTTCCCTTTCAAGGGAACTTCGAACTGCGTCCTCTAGGGGTCGCTATGGGGAACGCCTCGTCGTGACCCGTGTCTGAAGCATACATTGAAAAAACACCAACAACACGTTGGCCGGCAACAGCCCATGACGTCTCAGCTACACCCTCAGCTAAGTAAATTACTGCTAGCTGTTCCAGCATTGGAACATGCTGTAGGTCGAGCCCCCTCTCGATTGAGAGCTGGGTGTTTGCTCCCTCAGCTAGAGATTTACTGCTAGCCACTCCAGCATTATACCTTAGATCGCGTTGATGACTTCTCAAACATAGTGTTTTTGGGATGCATATAAGTGAGTTGTGTAAATAGTGATTTGTCTGACTTCAATTATTTCTTATTACACTGAAATTGAAGTAAAAAGTTTTTTTGAAAACCACATCCTGGCTTCAGTCTTCATTTGCTGCTGAATTGTGTTAACACGCATATAGAAACATAAGGAGAGCAAGAGATTGATTGTTAGTCAGTTTATTTTTTAATTAATACTATAGTAGTTCAGTTTCTTTTACATCTTTAACTAGCCGTTAATTTATCAATTGAATGGGTGACCTATCCTCATTAATCATGCAAACATTTGCCCCCCCTGAGAGAATTGGCAGGAGCCGCTGTAGCCTAGGCCTTTGGCCGTAGCGAAGTTCCCTTGAAAGGGAACGTCTCAGGTTACGTATGTGCGTTGCCCATAGCGACCCCTAAAGGAGACACTGTCTCGTTCCCTACTCAGGGAACCATGGTTACATACGTAACCTGAGACGTTTTGTGTGAGGTCGAGGTGCAGAGCAGAATTTAAGTTGTTAATCGCTGAAAATAGTATCCAGATTATTATCCCGATCTTCTCATTCAAACACACCTCACCAGAAACTCTGTCTACAATCTCAATTAGGAGTGTCAATGGTCCATTTGAGAGATAGGTGGCGGTAATGCACTTATAAGTCTGCGATCCGCCGTAAAGCAAGAAGAAGAAGATGACATGTCACGCACCGGCTGTTGAGGACGCACTCATTTTCATTTTTGGGTGAACTATCCCTTTAAGTAAGTAAAGTATCTGCCAAGTCCCTCTACACACTCCTGTACAGTAGGTGGTGATATGCAATAATTACAAATTGCAAAAGCCAAGAAAAAGAAGAAGAAGAACAATTTGTAACGAGCGTGTCACCGCGGGAATTGCTGCTTACAGTCGCTGCCTGAGGATGGAGATGAAGATCACTGAATAAAGGCTTAAATTCTGTACGCAGTCGTATGGATTATGAAGATTTGGATTACAGCACACAAATAAAAGGTATTCTTTTTGTAATTATGTTGTGTTTTTGGTGTATTTTATGGTTCTATTGTCAGTCACACTATAGCAAAAAATACAAACGTATTGTCCGCACACTGATATAACTGCTCCATAAGAAACAAATTTGTGCCTGACGAAGACCTGATGGTCGAAACGTTGCAATAAATTATTCTTATGGAGCAGTTATATCAGTGTGCGGACAATACGTTTGTATTTTTGCTATAGTTTGACTTTTTTTGTCCTGCACCTGAGCCCTGTGTGGGTTTGTGGGATGTGCGCAACTTTTTTATACTTTGGTTTTTGAGTCTATTGTCAGTCGCAGCATGTCAGAGAAAATGCCTTTTGTGTCCCACGGCAAACAAAGCAAACATGAGTAATGGTTAAAGAATTGCAGAAATGTTATTGATTTTAAGGGTTTAGTCTTGTTTAATATTATGTATTCTTCAAAACGAGTTGGCAGCTGAAATCACACAGAATAGAACGAAATGTTATTTCGTGTCACGTACATTTAATTTCACAATGCAATTGAAAACATAATGCCATTGATATGACAACTGAATACAATACAAGATAAAATGTTAATGCCGCAATTTCAATATTCATAATAATAATTAGAATAATAAGTTTTAAGCCTATAAAGCGCCTTTCGCAAGCTCAAGGTCGCTGTACAAGGAGAAAATATACAAACTCAGCTTCAATCATGAATACATGCGATACAGTACATACATATCATGCATACATATAAATACACAGGAACTTAACAGCAAAACCAGAAAACACAACACAGATGCCCATTAGTTTCACAGCAGAACATTAGTCAGAAGAAGGCAGGAAATACTGTAAGAAAAGATAGGCGTTTAGTTGAGATTTGAATGATGATATAGTGAAGGTGTCGTGAAGAGTTAGTGGAAGAGAATTCCAGAGTTTCGGATCTACAGCACTGAAAGATCTACCATACCACCCATTGATGTGAGACGAAAACGAGGTACATACGGATTCATTTGTAAGTCTGTAAAGTTGTTCATACGCAAATAATTAACGTTTTAGATGTTGTCAACAGTGGTGGAGAGAGTGCTGAAAATTTGTACTCAAGTACAAGTACTGTTACATTGCTGAAATAATACTCAATTACAAGTAAAAGTACTAGTGTCAAGACAGTACTTAAGTAAAAGTACAAAGTACTCCTTTCAAAAACTACTCGAGTACTAGTTACTAGTTACTTTTTAGCAGGCGATATTTAAAGGGGTCATAGGATG